CCTGCTCCCCCAACTCAATACATGATTGTGTACTTCCGCTCGCTCTCAAACTTTTGGGTCTAATTAACCCAGACAGCATAGGAAATTTGGATTACTGTCTGACTGGAAGACTTGTGACGGCTGAACTTGCTTGAGCTGCCTACACAGGGATATAGACCAGCCAGGCGGTTGGGCACTTCTTCTTCACCTAAAGGACATCATTCAATGATCAATCCATTGGGTCGATATGTCGATGTCAAGTCAACTCTATATACTCTAAGGCGTGATTAACTATAGTTTACAGGGATTTGAATCTCACAAGTGTTCATTCAGAAAATCGATTCCCATCTTCTTTTGTCTAAGTTGGTATTTTTGTATATTTAAACAGAACATGCCTTGATTCTCAAATCCGTACGTGTCGGATGAACATCGGTGCCGATTCCCTACAGAGACTTTCATGTTCCACTTCTTACCGTCAAAGAAGCAGAAACGTTGTTGCTACAGGATTATCCCCGAAGACCGGAGCTTTCTGCGCCTCTGTCACAACGTCTTGCACGGTGGCCATCGTTTGCTTCTGGACTGCCTTTGTTGCAGGTTGTCTGGTTGCACCAGAAAGCCGCTGTGAGCCACTAGCATCTGTCTGGTTGTTTTCTGGTACCTCAGACTTCGGAGCCTTGTCCTGACTGTCATCGTGATCTGGGCTTGCAGGACGAGAGTCATCCTGATCCTGATCCCGATCTTGATCCGTGCTTGAATAACTGCCAGCTAGTATGCTTTTGCCCAAATCGGCCAGAATCTTTCCAAATGGTAGATCGTTATAGCAGTCTATACCCCCTGTATCGTCGACTATAGCACCATCTATCATCCTCCTGAAAAAGCAATCCCCCACAAGTATACAGCTAGGCCAGCTATCTATATGCCGCAGTATTAGCAGCATGCTATACCCAAGTATAATAGCGATTTCGTCTCCTTTCTTTACGTCTCCTGGTACTAACCCTGTATAGCCCTGTCTTGTAATAGCAAGGCGCCTGCCGTCGATAATAGTCAGGATGAAGTTTCTCTAGGTAAGTAACCTCTTCTTAACCTCAGGTAACTTAGTATCGTTCTTTTAGCTTCTAAGTCCTATCAAAATAGAGATATAGTGTTAAAGAAACTATAGGCTTGATCTCTAGTGATTATCTAATCTATATAGCTTATCTAAGGTAAGTAGTATCTCTGAGGTTAGCTGCTACTTAAGCTGCGCCCAAATTCGTTCAGCAGCAGCCTCTATAATAGTTAGCTAACCCTATACTATCTTCCTTATTAGCAGAGCCCTAAGCAGCATCTGCTTGTCAAATTGACCTTATAAAAGCCTCAGACACAGGTGAGCACAGCTATCAAGATAAAATTGAAAGGTTGAGATTCAGATTCTTAGCGATAGACGCATCAACAGATGCAGGCGGGCGACTTTTAAAGCCAGAACTGCGGCCTCCATAACCACGAGCGTTGACGCTGCGAAACTTGAAGCCAAGCCCTGGTTATAGCTTCCCCCTACAGATACATGATAAGACATAATACCATTGGCTCTCTGTACAGTAACCAGTTTAACACAGTAAAACATTCTCAATTAAGAGTCCACTTTTTAATATGTAGTAATTGTTGGCTTTTCTAACTACCAACTTCCATGGCAATCAGCCTCGAGGTCCCTGACAGCTATGAAGAGCCTCCAACAACAACAATAACAACAGCGTAAGGGTGCTCATGTCCTGACAGGGCCTCGAGCTCTCGCAGCTATGACCGCCATGAAAATGAGCCTCAGGGCTCCCACCGTAGCTTCGAGAGCTTCAACCATGCACAGCGTTGCCTCTGACGGCACTGAGTGCTCAGTCATAGCCTCAAGCTCGAATAGACATTGCGCTGAGGCAACACCTGCGCGTGTCAGCATCAACCCTGAACTTGCTATCAAGCTTATTCGTTTGGCGTGACCTTTTGGCTTTGAATTCGCTTACCAAGCTATACTGTCTGTGTGTTTAGCTCTGGGACTTCAGTGGCAAGTTTTCGCTTCTTTCTGTATTGATACTTTGCTAGTTGAACTGAAAACTACCTACACGGTCCGCTTGATCCGTGGAGGCATCTACTGCACAATGGAAAGCTTCGATTGATTTCTATGAGAATGAAGATACCAAACTACCCAAGACGAGAAGTACAAGTCCTATGTCTAGCACTTAACCAGTTCCAAAGGACCTCAAGGAACCAGTATCCATGAATCCTCACTCCTTCGGGAAAGATATTAATTTAGTATGGCGTTTCCCACAGTCCTCCGGGTTATCTTTAGTCTCCCGCCATATCCATCGTCGTTTTTTTATTGTCTTCCCAGCCCTCCAGTCGTATGTCCTAGGGTCTACTGGGATGCTTCCTGGAGATGTACGGTAGTTTCCTGGATTCCGCCTTAGATAAGGCAAGGAGGACCCCCATCCCTGTCTGCCATAGCGGTGGCGATTTTTGGTCACACGCTTCCAGATCTTCTTGCCCTGCGGTTCACCAACCTCTTCGTTCCATTTATCCACCATTTTGTCAAAATCAAAAAGATCAGATCGAGCCAGTTGAAAAGCAGACCAATTCACCTTCGGGTTATTGGTGAACTCGGGATTAATTGCGCCGTGGGGGCTTGTGGTAGATTGACTGAAATCGCACAAACGGCCGCCGACCCATGCATCCGCTTTCACGTCGCCGTGAATGATACCAAGCTCGTGAAGACCGAGGATATCTCGGAGCATTCCATCCCGATTAGCTGGCTCAAACTTGTCACTTCCAACAAGCAGTTCCTTGACAATACCTCGGATAGGGCGGTACTGCCCATCCTTCTGGGCAAAAGCACGGCCTATCTTAGCTCTCTCGTACAAAGTATCCATCCCATCCCATGTTGAGGGTATGAGACCAAATTTCTGCTCCAGAAGGATCTCGTATTCCTTCTTGAGCAGCAGATATCCATAACATTTGGCTGCCAGATCTTCGCGGCCAGCCTCTTTAAGCCGGCCATACACGCGACACTCGGCGCCAAAGGGATCATCGCACCACAGCCAATAATAAAAGTCCTCGTATTTGCGGTTGTGGCAGTCACCCCAGTCTATGCCGTGAGGTCCCAGCAGGCTGGGAGAAAAGAATTTAAACTTTGCACAATGAATGTTAGACGCTAAAGCCCGAAATGGTGAGTCCAGGGGAAGGTGACGATGGCCAACCTACCAGCTTTAGGGCATAGATACGTGCTCCGATCTTAACTTTCATGACAATGGAGGTACAGCATTTGTTGGCGTCAGCAATTACTTCGAGAAACTCGATAGAATCATCATCGCCGAAGTCAAAAGGCTGAATTTTGGGCCCTGCGACGGGCGGGAGCGGCCCCAGGTCCTTCCAAGATTCGGGGAGGACGGGATACATGGGGAGATTCTTCTTGTTCTCCCATTGCATCAATGGTTCATTCTCATCCACATCTGACGACTCATCGTAGAACTCTTTGCGGGTCGGGGGACCAAATTTAACTCCAAGCGGTGAACGAGGAATATATTCAGGATTTAGGTGCTCAGGAACAAGGTCAGAGAAATCCATGGTAACTCTGTGCGTTTGAAGGCCTGGAAAACTGTCGTCTGGGAACTTGGGTGAACTTTCAAATGGCCGGTGAAGGTGTGCAAGCAGGAAGAGATCCGGAGGGCTCTTTCATTTCATATGTCGCAATCCATCTATCGAAAGACGCTTATTGTGGAAAATCTATTTTTTTCTTCGTTCTTTGAGCATCATTCCGCCGTTTTTCTGCCTTTCTTCCGTCCCTTGTCTATGCGTCCTCCGTCTTTCCTCTAAGCGTCCTCCATCTTTCCTCCATGCGTCTTACGCACAAGCCACCTCTCTTATTTCCTCTTGAAATGGCATTCAAGTCGCTGGCTGGTTGCGGAAAGCCTACGCCAGCCATCACGGGTGCTCTGGAGAGAGAACAAATAAATTGGGGGTTATTGGGGGAAGAAGGAAGTACCCCCCAAAAACGGCCTAAGCGCGACCCCTATCAAACTTCTTTTTTCCTCCTTTGACCGTGAGACATCGAGCGGTAGTCGTTCCTGATGAGCAGCTTCCTAAGAATCAGGAAAAGACTCGAGTACGTAAGTTGTATTTCAAGAACTTCAGATTTGCAAACCTGTGGCACTATATCGATGTCGAGGATGCGTATGTTATCCGTCAGACTAGTGATGGAAAAATAATCAAGACCTGGAGAACCAAGGAAACAAAAAAGATCTACACCTTCCAGGAGGCAGGCATTGATCAACCAGGAGAAAGTTATTGGGTTTCATATCGTCATCAGCTGGAGCAATTTGTAAATCGAATACGGGGTCGGGAAGGGTCGGGACTATGGATCGATGGAGACGATAGCATTGCACAAATGAAGATGATCGACATGACTTACGAGAAGCCTGGATCACCGCTGCGGCCGTCAAGCAAATTCAACTATCTATGAGTCCGCTTGATTTTCTGTTGAGGATTTGCATTTGGTTGTGCGTCTGTTAGGGGGTTGGGTGAAATTTACACGTCGAAATCTCAATTTCGTTCTACGCGATGAATTCTCTGTGCAGGTTTCCAAAGTGACTACTATTTGACTATCATTTTTTTGCCTCTGATTTCATCCTTTCGCAGGAAACTCTACGGCTCTAGTCTGCCATGAGGTTGTTAGAGAAGATGTTGGAGCAATCGCACTGTCAATCATGATTGGCCCACAGAAGTGTAAGCTTCCTGGTTGAGTGCCTCCCGCTCGGTACAGTCCGATTTAAGTCTTACTACAACATCACATTAAGAGCGCGCCTTCAATCGTGGACAGTTCGAGAGGCGTCTAACTGGCATATCTAAGTGGCGCATTCTACACCACTGGAATTTCAGGTCTCCTCGGCGGGAGCCGAGCCCAAGAAGTAGATGGAGCCTGGACCCGTGCCTCGCTTGCCCCTGGAGCTGATCCTAGAGGTCTTATCATGCGTTTGCCCTGCTAACCCCACGATATTGCTACCGGCATCGCATCCGATCACAAGGACGCTACTTGCGGCGACGTTGGTCTGTCGCGCAACATATCCGGTGGCATCTAGGTATCTTGTTCAACATTGCCTTTATCTTAATTCTGATCTGCGCCTGCGCGATCTTCTGGTCCGGTTGCCACACAGGGTGCCTCTCTCGTTGGGCGACAACCATGCCTTTCAAAACATTGCATCTTTGTATCTGTCTCCTTTTCGACGGTCTCTTGACGACCTGCCGACTGCGATGTGGATTCGGGAGCTCTTCTACTTGGTATGCGGCAGTCTGCGGCGCCTTGTCATCGACATGCCACTGCGCAGCCTCTATCCAGCCGATGACCATCTCAATGTGAGGAAGACCCTGCGCGAAGGCTTCAGCACTCTCACAAAGCTGGAGGAATTCGTCTCCGTGCGCGACGAGCTCTACTTACGCGTCTACGAGCGCGAGTGGCTCATCGAGGAGGCGGAAGTGTGGACGCTCTGGCCCGCGCTGCGCCGCCTGGCGCTGTATAATGTTGACGCCGACGAGCAATTCTGGGGCCGGGTTGCTGGCATGCCGAAACTGGAGACTTTGATATTGACGCGAGCCGATGGGATGCAGGAGACTTGCATCAAGTCGAGCTACTTTGCGGCCACCCAGAGGCCGATTGATGTCTTGATCGTGAATGTCTCCACGGAGCATCCCCGTGAGATCCCACGCTGGGCATGGCAGGATGTGGATCCACAAATGAAGATGCAAGTGATGGTCTATGATGTTCCTACCTCATTTTATGGCGATGAAGACTACATCACTCTCTGCCAGGACTGGGTCAAGGCCGCAGCTCTGCGCGGGACCCTGTGGGATTGGAAGGGCTACCTGTTGCAGCCAGCGCCAGTTGGCTCTGGGCTCACTAATCCTGAGCCAGAGACGAGTTTGTGATGCAGGTCAAGGTGTTAGAGCTCGGGTGTTCCTCAAAGGGGATCATTCTTTCAACTCTGATGTAGCACGAACATCGAGTCTCGTACAATGTTGGTGAATATTTGTAAGGCATGTCACAAAGTGCAATGCAAGGAATTCTTATCCGTGGTGACAGCTGTCACTACAAGCCTTTGTGAGTGCCACGTTCTACCCTACAGTAGCCTCGGCACCTTAAAGATCAGCCAGCACTCAACATTGTCTGTGTGATGCTTATGCCCCCTTCGCAGGCAGCTAGGCCACGACTTTTGAACCGATCCAGAATGTGCTATGAAGACATACCACAGTAGTAAACGTGCAGTTTCGCCTCTGCCACCGAGACCGGGGAGTTCCCCTCTCCATCTGCTGCAAGATCGTCATCCGATCGATGGCATGGTCACATAGCTAGCTAGAGTGGGGTAGATAGGTAGCTTGGTGACTCGGTACTGTGCAGTATCATCCTTGAACTTCTCTGACAACAAAGGTAGGGCTTTAAAGGCAGTAGAATTGAGTTCCAACGTCCGATCAAGTCTCATAAATTCATAAAGACCCAGTCATTGACCTTCAACAGTTGTCAAGGCTCCCAGGTGAGACCTTCATAGATGTGTATCTAGCAGGTAACTCAATGAGGCTTTCTCAAAACGCAACCCCCACCTTACAGGCGCCTTTGGACTTGCGGCCCTGACGGACAGCGGACCCGAGCATGCTCCCGACAGACTTCCAATTGGCCGAAGAGTCCAAAGAACGACATAAGCCGCGAGATGGGATGCTTGAAGTGCCCAGGCGTGCCAGACCACTCGGACACGGAGAAAGACCGATCGGGCTGGTACGTACCCAGTGAGATGCGCCTGCCAGATTCGTCCAGGCGGCACAATTCCCAGGCATCTCAGTGGCTGCAGCCTCCCTTTTTCTCCGGGCGGTGCCTGGGGGGGCTCTGTGACCTGTATGATTCTGCCGTACTGTACGCAGTAGGTACCTTGGTGGCAATGCTTAATGCTATAGCGCAGCAATGTACAGTGCAATACGACCTAAACAACTGACCCCATCCGACACCAGAGACGGCCCCAGCGTCGCGGGACCTCCACATCTCTGCTTACATCCAATTTTCTGCTGCGCTCCTTTTTCTCCCTTCTGCTGCCGGCTGCTCCTCTTCTTGCTGCTGTTTGCACAAACATGCGCCGTCCGTTCTCCGGTTCCCCACGAAAGTCGCCAGCCATTCTCCAGAGTGAATTCCGTCCCTAGCAGGACGCCTCCTGCTGGCCAATGTAGCATTTTGAGCGGATAGTCCTCCAAGTCCCTTCCCTCTCCCTCCTGGCCGCGACCCGCCTGCCGATCCTCCTCTCCGCCAAAGCCGAACCCTCCGGCCGCATATCTCGACCTCCTACAAGCGCCAAACCTCGCTTCGACCACATCTCCCGCGCATACTGCACACCCCACACAACAACCCCGACCATGCCGGAGAAGCCCTTGACCGTCGCAACCTATGCGGCCGGGGCATCTCTGGCGGCCATCGCCCTGGTGTATGTCTTTGCGCCAACCTACTTCCTCGACGGCGACCCTGCAAACGCCAATTCCGGCGGCGGCGGCGGCTTCCTAGGCGGCGGACGCAAGAAGGGCGTCGTCGGGCTCGTCAATCCTGCCAATGACTGCTTCATCAACAGTGTTCTGCAGGCACTCGCCGGCCTAGGCGACCTCCGTCTGTATCTCATCCGTGAGCTGCACCGGCGCAGCATCGACGATGCCTGGGTCTACTCCGAGGCTGTGCCTGCCGATGCGGACGAGCGCGCCGCTGGCGCAGGCGGCAAGTCCAAGCCAATGCCAACATGGAAAATCGAGGGGCTGCAAGCCGGCCTCGTCACAAAGGGTCTGAAGGAGATGTTGGATCAGCTCAACGAGCGACCCATCTACAAGAAGACGATATCAGCTGGCCCATTTGTGAGAGTGCTCGAGGTGGCATTCCGCCAGCGCATTAGCAGGCAGCAGCAGGATGCTCAGGAGTTTCTCCAGGTCGTTGCTGAAAGGCTATGCGATGAGTATCATGCTGGGCATAGAGCAAGGAAATTCGCCAAGCGCAAAGCCGGGCTCGAGAATCCCATCAATGGTGTGGATAGTGCCGTTGTGGAGCAAAGATTGGCCAGTCTTGCGTTGAACAATGGTGCTGCAGACGTCAGTGCCACGGATCCAGGCCAACAAGTGCCTTCCATCCAAACCAATGGCGTGGACGAGATTGCCGATCTGGAAGAAGAGGAAGGCTTCCCGATGGAAGGGAAAGTTGAATCGCAGATTGAGTGCTTGACTTGTGGTTTCAAGCCGAGGCCCGCTATGGGTACTTTCTGCACATTGACTCTCAATGTGCCGCAAGTGTCATCTACGTCGTTGAACAAGTGTTTTGACGGCATGTTCAAGACCGAACACATTGACGACTTCAAGTGCGAGAAGTGTAGGCTGTTACATGCCAAAGAGGGGTTCGAGGTTGAGCTGGCAAAATCCACATCTGAGACCTTCAAAGAACGGATGACGGACACGATCGCAAGACTGCAGCTGGCCATCGAGACTGATCC